TGGAAATTAATAAAGAAATTATGGATCCAATTCTCTGGCATGTAAAGAATATAATTTGCAATGAAGATAAAAAACTCGATGATTATATCTGGAACTGGTAGGCATATTTAGTGCAAAAGCCAGAAAAAAAGCCCCGATCAATCTTAGTGCTAAAATTAACATTACAACAATGTGGAAAAAATATTATTACTGACTTTATTGGTGACAAAGTCCTAGGGGAACATCTCCATTATATTACATCAGATTTAGAAAAAATTCTTGGACGTTTTAATAGTGCCATTCAAGCTCGAAAGCTCATTGTTATGAATGAGACTAGAATGTCTAGTGCAGAATGGCATAAATTTAACAGGCATCTCAAATTCCTTATAACGGAAGGAATGGTGTCTATAGAGCGTAAGGGTATTGAAACAAAGCGAATTAGAGATTTCACTGGGTTTATGGTTATAAGCAATCAGGACGCCTCACTTAAAATAGATATAAGAGATTCCCGTGTAATCTGTTTTGATGTTTCCTCACATTGTAGAGGCAATACAAAGTATTTTAAGTGACTAGGAAAGGTTTTTGACCACCCTGACGTACCAAGAGTAGTCATGAGATATCTTCTTAGTCGTGACCTTTCAGATTTTGAATCACAAGAAATTTCCGCAACTAAAATGAAAGTAGATATAATGCACGACCAGCTTCCTAATCCTATTCGATTTTTAATTGATCATATTACATCTTGGGTTGAAGATAAAGTAGCCAGCCCAAGTCGTATATCATTGTATCAGAATTATCTTGAATGGTGTGGAGAGAATGGTGAAAAGTTATTTTCTAACAACATTTTCGGTAAGAAGTTATTAGAGAAAAATATTATTGAATGCAAGAGAGCAAGTAGTAGAAAAAGAGAATGGCAATATATTCTTGACCGCTCTAAAATCATAGCTAAGCTCCATGAATCAGGCCTAGGTGATATCGAAGAATTTTCTGATATACCTTAACCTGACTTACCCACAAACGAGATCACAGACATACCTATATTCAATGTACCAGAAATCATTTCCCAGAAAATAACTCCGCCTCAACCAGAAGAGAATCTCCCTCCAAGAGATAAGAAAGAGGATAAACAGGAATCTCCAGTCGCCTTCACATCTGAAACGTCTGAGACTTCTAAGACTTCTGAACTATTTAAACCAGCAGTAATTAATAAGTCCAAGTCTTCTTCCAATATACTTGATAATACTGAACTGAAGGCCGAATCCAACCCTCTTCAGAATGATGAGCCTATAAACGATGTATTTAAGTAAAATGTTGTGAAGGTATCATGTAAAGCGCCTCTCAGCCCCTCCATTCTCTCGTCCAGAGCTCAACGAGAAGAGCGTCTTAGAAAAAGGGCAGTCGAGCTTGGTGAAAATCCCAAAAAGTTTGTAACCATCACAGAGAAAGATAAACACGATTCACTCACATTTCGGGATAGGATGGAAATAGATTCACGAATGTGTGGTTGGGCTATAGAGATGAAGGATGATCCTAAAGAAGATATGGACATGATGGTACGTAAAAGATTGATAGGGGAAAAAATTATCTGTCGCAGGCTCGAGGATAACAGAGTCACAACCTCGTGGCTTGATACCGATGAGAAATAGAAAAAAACAATAAGCATACTCCAGGAGAATGGTATGCTTTGGTAAAGAGTGCTCCCCCAATCAAAGATTTATTTTGAGAAGGATTATTATTTTTTTTTTCGCATATCCTATCTACCCGTAATTTTCAAATATATATATATAAGATATTCCAGCCGGAGCTCATGGTTTCATAAAGAACCCGCAATAAGTTATAATATTATTTTTACCATTCTGACCATGTGGTAGTGAAATATCAGAAATATTTTTTTTGAATTGAACTTTATCGGATATAGAATAACCTAACAGTTACTCATAATCTAGTAGTTACTCCACAACCTATATTCACATAGCCATGTCCGCGATTGTAACAAAATATGTTGCAGAGAGCAAACTCAGTAAAGATATGAGTGATAAAGAACTTAGTCAGCACGCTCTAGAATTACTCGAGCTTTTGACAGATAAACTGAAAAGAGACAAGGGTCGTCAGCGCTTCCAAAAAGAGTATAATTTTAGCAGAGAGCAGGCATTTGTATTAATTTCCGATCAGAAAATTTGCCGAAGTAGAAATCGGGTAATCCCTAAAGAAGGAGGGGAGTTAATATATGCCAAGTATCCGACATCATTCCAGACGGAGAAACCATCGAAAGTATAGCCCAGCGTATTGTTCGAGATAATCTTGGTGAAAAAGAAGTAAAGGCGATAGCCAAGGCTTTAATTGCTCCTAACCCTGTCATCACCACATCCCGTCTTAGTAGGCTCCGAAAAGAATTACGGAAACTCAATACCCCAGAAAAGATAATCTCTACTACATTAGACGAAGAAATAATCTGCGCATCTAATAAGGTTCAAAAGGAACGTAGGGATCAATGTGAAAATGAAGAGATCGATTTTCCAGACCACTTCTCGTTAGAATCGGTTAAGGAGAGACTCGATTTCTATGATGTATCTAAGACACCCACTGTGCAAGCCCTAGCTGATGTAATGATAATGCTCTGTATCCGTCCCGCCAAAATTAAAGGCTTGCGCATATCTAATGGAGGTGTAACTGAATACGCAAAAAATCGAGGCCAACAGGATAATCCTCAGATATTTAGATCGTTAAAAAGAGATGAAGAGTGGGCTAAACTTCTCCTTACTTGGATTCAGGATGCAATTTCTTCTGGATAGTTGAGGGATCCAGGAGTGCCAGGAGTTAAATGGTTTAATACGTTTCTGAAAAAAGAAAGATTTCTTCCTGAAACTGGTAAACCACTCCTCCCTAGCTATTTGCGCAAATTAGGAGCAGTATTTGCGGTTATATTGAATAGTGCGAAGAATTTATCAGAAGCTATGACCATCGCCAGTCAAGCCCTTCGACACAGCCCTGATAACCATGCCTCTCTAGCGCAAAACTATACTATAATTAATTTTCGAAAAAGAGGACAGCCTTATAATCAGACAACAGTATTCAAGCTCTTCGATGAAAACTAATCACATATAAGGGTTAGACAAAAGGGGCTGTCCCTCACAAGCAACAAAGAAGGATACGACTAAGAAGGGTTAAGCGGATGGTAGTTTGAAGTGGATCGAGTCAGACACTTTGCATATTTTTTCAGTCAAAGTTATTAAGTTTATCAGATAAATAATTAAAATGGAAAGTGACCACATTATAGCTATGAACAGACATTCACTGACTTGAGGTAATATTTTCACCTTAATGTCGAGAGCTAGTGATAGAATACTAGCCAATCAATCAGAATGGTACTCTACCGATCTAACTAACCTGGATCAGTGATCAACACGGAAGATTTTTTGTTAGGTTATACCTTGTGCGACAAAAAATATAGATTAGCTAACCTGTTCTAGACATGGGCATTGGTCTGTACCAGCCAAATTTTTTATGAAAACGTAGCGCTGACAAAATTTCAAGGCTTACTAATCCTCAAATCAATTATATTATAGAACAAGTCAATTCGAAAATGATTGTGAACAAATAATCATTTTCTAAAAGATATATTCTTTCAAAATCACATAAGGTGACGTTTCTTAATTCCCAATAATATGACACTGGCTCATGTGAATCCGCAGTATATGCTAGGCGCAGAGGAATTGGCGTCAAATTTGTTTATTTTTTCATCTTTGATCATACTGATATTTTTTCTCACCCTGCAGATCGATAGATCAAGAGGCAGGGCTGTGCGACATGCGAATCACATATATATTCAAAAAATCTCCAGAATTTAAGCTCTGCATAGATGACATTCTTCGTAGGATAAAAAATATGGGGCCAGTCGTAGATAGTAATGAGGCTATGCATTGCGAGACTTTCAACAATCCTTCATACTGCCATCAGCATCCTCAGAAGATTGGTAATCTTGCCTCAGATGAATGTATCTGGTGAAGAAAGTTTCGGCTGTGTCGACTACGCAATCAAGAAAATGTCATGTATTCTTTGTATTTATTTTTTCGTATTAAATAAAAATTTTCGCTTACGGGCCTTAAGGGAAACCACGTGATTTTTTTATTTTGAATATAAAGCGTTTTTGTATAAAATTTATTGATCATGTCTAATACTCAATCCAACGATTTATTAAGGGAATTAAATGCTAAACTCTTAGCTAAGATTGCAGAGCTTAGAAAGAAGAATGCTGAGATCTCTGATCTTAAAAGGAAGTTAGCCGAGTTTGAATCAGAGAAAGTTGAGCTTAAAGCCAGACTTGCCGAAGCTCTAAGACAGGCTGTGAAAGAGAGTAAGAGACGTGATGCTGAGAATGTTGAACTTAAGACTAGAATTGAGGAGTTAGAGAAATGCAAGGTAGATTCTTCAGCCGAGAATGTTAGATGTGATGTTAAGTTTGCTGAGCTAAGGCCGAAATAGTGAAATTAACCGAAGGCGCTTAGATTTCTTTCAAAGTAATTGTCAATGTATCTAGCACCATTACAGATTAGTGTAATAAGAGGTTCTATAAAAACCAGATCACTTTTTCGCCATCTCGTGTGAGTGATCAGAAGTCATCAGAGGACAGGAAAATGGATACTTTCTTGGATGATACAGATAAGAAAAGTGTCAGTAATGGGATAAGACAACACAATAGGAAGCTACTGCGTGAATCGAAGTCATCAAATAATACAGAAACAGTCCCGCTATCTACTTCACTGATATTGCTAGAAGAATCTTCAGATTCAAAAACTGTGGAAATACTTCAGGACTAGCAAGAGAACAAAGAAGCTCAATCGCATAAAAAGAAAGAAGTGGAAAATATTGTGTAAGATGTATTTGATTTCACCGTGAATGAATCTGATAAAAATCACATGACAAATTTTTCGCTTACAGGCCGTAAGGGAAATTCAGACATATTGAACAATATAGCCCGCTTATACAAAGATGCATGTAATGCAGAAGATGAAACGATAAAAGCCAATCAGGTAGAAATTTTATGCTGATTTGACTTTGTCAAGGGACTGGATAAAAGTGTGGATGAAATTATGATCAAAGAAAAGGTGGGTATGAAAAAGGCCAAAGGATTGATTTATGATTTTATTCTTATACACAATCCTGACACCAAACGAAATACTTTATATCAACGCATCAGTAGAGCCAGGAAGATTTATGGGTTTATCGAAAAAATAGGAATTGATAAAATCAAGTATATCAAAACATATAGTGTGAATTCTATTGCAGAATTAACCGATAGTAAAATTCAAACTATTATTGATTATTTCTCCAAGAATCCCGATACTGAATTATCCAATAACCAGGATAGTTCTATTATTGATTCTTCACTGGAGGAGAATGAACTACCGGAAGTTGAAGTAAGTGCATCCACTGAATCCAATTCTCCCAGCTCGGAAACCAATCAGAATAGTGTATCAGAGGTGCAAAGCGGAAGCCTTAGTTTCAGCCAAAGAGGACCCTTGGAAGAAGATAATCAGAGAAACTTTTGAGAAGGATGGGATAAAGAAAGAAAGAGAGAACAAAGCGTCATCAAATGTAGTAACTCCAGCTAAGGGGTTGCGTAACAATCAGGCAAATGACTACGATGATGTGTATTTTAATGAGGAGGTGAATGAAGTTAAGTCAGACGATGAAAACGATTCTAGTGATTCTGAAGAAGAGATGCACCGAAGGGATGAATCGGACGATGATGGGTATAATGGATACGGTGGATATGATGAATATAGTGGTCGCGATAGAGGCTATTATTATCGTGATGGAAGATATGAAAGGAAGTTCTCACCAATGATGAGTCCTATTATATCTCCGGTAACCGCCTAGAAGAATTATCAGACTCACATAGATTGAAATATCGTATAGTTTATTTCTTTCTTTCTAAATTACGTAGGTAAGAAATTTTGTCATGTAAGACTGATCACCTGAAATGCGCAGTGCAATATCAGGAAAATGCTATTCTCTATATTCATAACTCAGCTAAAATTATCAGATTGAGATTTTTTGCGATCAAGGGAATAAGGCTGTGCAACATAAGATTTTAGCATTTTTTTGTCATCAGGATAGACTATTAGGTTGGGTGATGGTATAATGAACATAACGAGTATCGGGAGGTGGATATCATTGTATTAAGCAAAGCTGTATCATGGTCTAAGATCCGATATGTATTTTTCATTTACAACCAATAAAGTAAAGGTGCATTAAGCACAATATATTTACATGATAATATTCCGCATAGTATGGTTGTGGGGATTGAGGGATTGTATTTGCATCTCAATAAATGCGCAGTATAATATTCGGAAAATTATTAACGTTAATGATTGCTGTGCAACGTAAGAGAAAATTAACTATAACATCTTGTAGGCGTGTAATATTCTCGAACTTTCCCGCAGATACTCATGTAATAATAATAAAAAAAAGACCCCTTTGTTAATCCAAGGGGCACGATCCCATATGGTTAGCAATCAAGGGTCTTTAAGCGAATCTGTTGATCTGATTTTCCGTGATGCCATCATAATTCCCTGAAAATTTATTCCAAATTCAATTCTTGGACTGCTACAGATCATATAAAAGAAGACAAGACAGTTAGTGACTGCCTTGCGCAAATATAAGCAAAAATCAAGTGAACTAATAAAACTTACCAATATTTACATCGTTAATATCCTTGATCAAAGCAAACGAGTAAATAATATCAAGGTAATTTGGCTTATTATTCAGTTAACTTCTTGAAATATGTCACCACGATCTTAACAGATTTCCTGCCTCTATAGATGTTCCAAAATAAAACGGACATATTACTTTTCTTATTATATATCGGCATTTTGATCTTTGCCAAGAAAATCATCACACGTACAATAGATGCAATGAAATTATCCACATGAATCTTGTCACACAGCAAAAATTTGACGCAGTATATCTTCTAACATAAATATCTTCACGTGCTGAATTCATTCTGGCTGTCCGGCAATAACGCATAAAAAATTAAGCAATCAATTCCTCGTATATGCGGTGGAATGGAATATTGTGAAAATGAACTACATCAGTAAGTGTGAATTGGAGGAATTATTATTTTTTAATTCAGTTGCTAACCTCTCGAATTTATGCTGTAGATTCAAAATTTTTCTATCTCGGTAAAGTTCTCTTGCGGGGAATAATCTTAAATAGTCTGTGCGGGTGTAGTGGATGTACAAAAATTCTGTAAATATGTATGGGATAATTTATTTTGAAATATAATGTAGAAAAAGAGTGTTGGGGTGGGAATCTTGTGTTTAGTAACGATAGAATAGAAAGTGTGATAGAGAAAGAAATAACTTGATGCTGGGACTCGCATTAATGGCCTAGGATCCGCGTACTCCCTCCCTCTTTGATAGCATCATGTATTTCGCTTGCTATTTCCACATTTTTACTTAAAATTAACAAAGTTTGTGTTTTATTTTTTACACGTGTATCTTATAAGTGGAAAATGTGATTATGTACATATGGGACTTGGAATAAGTCTTTTGATTGTAGTAAAATATAAACGAAAGATTGCGCCCAGCCGAATGCTGAAGACATGACTGAAGTGTCGTTGCGTGGTGGTAGAACAGCGGACCATTCGAAGAAGTGCGCCTACTGATCATACCATCTTTTCAACGATGTATTACGTCGCCACACAACTGTCCAACGATAGACAACTAAGTCAACCCTTGAACATCGATTGAATATCGAAACGCGACAGAAATATCCACACAGACTAAATCAGGTCGTTACGTGGTGGCAATGGGGCGGACCATTCGAAGAAATGCGCCTACTGACCAAAACCATCTTTGTCAATGAAGCACTTAGAGTATCTTAGAGTGCAAGCAATCGCCACGCAACCATTCAACGATGTCACCACCCTTGATACGCCGGTCGTTTTCAGGCCTTCAGACCAAAACACTGATAGTCTGTGAACGCGTAGCTGTTAATTTCTGAAAAACGAAAATTTGATTTATTACATTGGATCACATGTTGGTACTGCGCCTCTCAAGATACTATATAGCTTGATAAAAAAAAATTTTTTTCTTTACGCGACATACTACATAATGCAGTCTTGGATACGCGATAACCTCAAAGACTTAAAACCGGAGTTTTTTTACAAAGAATTTGCCTACTCTCACAACTCACGGAAACAAGCCGAAGAAAAATTACACGAGTTACTTACAGAAATCACGAAAGAGAACAATAGCGTTAATCGGAAGAGGGCGAAGTCTCTGCTAGATAATTTTGAGGTAAATAGGAATTTTACCACTAGATGTCGGCGCTGATACTTTCTTAATCAACTAGTTGTTTGTTCTATAGCCGTGGACGCAGTCAATTAACTGTGAGAGGTATTGGTTGGATGTGGAAGCCTCACTCGGCAGGGTATGCTGGATTTTTGTTGTTGTTATAAATAATGGATCTCAGCTAATTACATGATTTTACCTTCATAGTCGGCACACGAAGTGGTTGGACGGATTTCGGCGTACAATACAATTAAACACTTCACCAGAAAAATCAACAGTGAAGAGGAAGATCTAAATGAATTTCAACCGCCATCGAAAAAAGTCAAGAATGATGAACCCAAACAACCACAAACGCCAGAGAACAAGATAATCACAGATCCCGAAAATAATCCGCTTTTTGCAAGGTCAAACTATGAACCATCCAGTGATGGAAGCTGGCGTCCTGAATGTGAAGATGAAGAGTATGAAGGAGCTGAAGAGTATGAAAAAAACCAAGAATCAAAACCAAAGTTGTTTTGGTTCGTGGGCCCAGGAGAGATAAACATAAAGGGTAAAATTCACAATAAGGTAGTTTATCTTGATTATGGTAAATAAGCACATTTTTGGAATTATATGCTTTTCCAATTATTCTTTTTCATTTAAAGATAGTTAGTTAACTCAGAGTCAATAATAATGAATTGCGAATCAAACTTATTTATTTTTTTTTTCTATCGACACAGTGGATACTAGATGAGATCAATATATCGGACATCTTCTTCCAATTCCGTCAGTCAGCAATCACAAAGGCAATAGATGGAAGCATTGAAGGGATGAGTGAGATATTGTAAGTATTAATCTTTATAAATGAATTTGAACACCTAATGTTGGCACTAACACACACTAACACACTTACACAACTATTATAGAGCTCTTAATCATATTTTTTTGATTCAAGACTCGGAGAGTGGTCGAATTATTGACAAACAGCTTTGGGATAGAGTTATCCAGCAGGTCTATCAAGAATATCCACCACCTGATCCACCAGAAGATTGGTTGTCTAAATGCAATGAAGTGTCAAAAGTAAAATCTTTTTGTTAATTCGTTCGTCAATAGTATATAAAACCTAATATTATTTTGCATGCTTTGTAATTAGATGGCTCGAAAAGACTTCAAGAACAGCAAGTCATTGTTAAAAAATTGGTACAAATCGAGTAACAAGGAATCTGATGATATAATTTTTGATGTATTCCATAACATGTAGGTTATTGTGTAAGCATTTTATTTGATTGCCCATATCACACCTAAGTGTTTCATTAATTATTTTTCACCAGACTCAGCTTATACACACCCTCAGGATCAGCGGAAAATCTCCATGAAGATTCATTTGCCCACAAAGTACTATCGCCTGTCATATCCCCTTTTTTTAAGGATTCGCTTGAAATTTCATCAGTTTGGTAATTTTTTATCATTTTTCTTTGTACCATAGTGCAAATTACTCGTTTTCCGCATAAACTAACCTTTCTCATTAGGGCAAATGAAATTCTAGATTCATCTGCACATCGAAAGAAGAGGTTTGATCCTTCATTAGAAGGAAGGAAACCTGATTTTGAATTGCATATCTCCATGAATCAAAGAAAAGAGAATTTGCTTGTACTTGAAATAAAGCCTACAAACCATGCACGACCAAATAAGGATACATTGAATGACCTTGTAAAGCTCGCTAATGAGCTAAAAGATTGCATTGACAAAATCATTAATGATGGTATCAGTGATAATGTGACTGTTTGTGGAATATTAGTTGAAGGTAAGTAGTCTATTATTTGCTTTAAACGGTTAAAACTTTCAATGGTTTAACAATAAATTCCGCTGTCACTATAGGTTGCAAATGTACTTTCTACATTATGGATCTTCAATATGATGCGTTATATCGAATGATCCAACTGGGTGTCTTCTACTTGCCTAGAGATAGGCATGATTTTTGTGTTATTAATAACGCTTTGGAAGTGCTCCTTCATGCACAAGTAAGTGTTACTTACATATTTGTTTAAAGCGGTATATAATTAAATTTTCATGATATTATTGTTAATAGGATATCGTTAAACAATCAGCCACATATTGTCTTGCTCACCTTCGTGGGCAACATTCTTCCTCCTCCCAGACATCACTTAATCGTAAACTAATGCAAAGGAAATCATTTCATACGCCTATGAAGGTTCCTCCTCAAAGTGTAAGTTTCGTTTTTAGGTTATTTCCCTAATTACAAATAAAGAAACTAACATCAATTTCTTTACAAGTGGGAAGTTTTAAGGCATCTAGAAGACCAGTGCAAGTCACCCTCTGTACGAGAACAGAGAAAAAAACAAGTTAGCTCGTCCATGTTTTCAGGCGTCTCATACGTTGATCGCCACCAGCCGGATGAGGAATAAAGCCACTTTTGTGCGGATCGACAATGACAGCATCACATGAATCTATTTACTTTGAAGCTAGTGTAATTAGTTCATCCTAAAAAGGATTGATTTTTATATGCGTGAATCACCATTAATAAAATAAAGTTAATTTCTAGTATGTTTCTTTCATATACTAATATTTCTCGATCGAATGATCTTTTTTCTGTGGCAAAGTGATCGGCATACATCACCTGAAGCCTGTAGCACAAACCTCGGTTTGTTTCCGAAACCGTTTTACATTATCCACTCTCAAAATATCATTATGACTTTCAACACCTATGGAGCTACTAATGATCAAAATACTCTGAATGGGGGATTGAATGCATATATATTTATTTATTTTGTATTGCGAGTCAGGCTTTATTAATAGCACAGAGATTTCAAACATAAACTTCAGAAAGAGGGTAGGAAAAATTATTCGTAGCAACTTTAGGCGTAATCGTGTGCATTGCTTTATTTTTTACATGTAAAATGGAAGTTTGCATATGCCTCTCAATAGGTGCTTTGATTGAGTCCGAATATTTGATGAAGAATTATTGGGATTGCTCTTGCTTCAAGGCTGAAATCGAAGATAAATTATGTTCATTGACCCTTCCTTCTTTACCACCAAAGCCTGTTGCATTAATGGGCGGTCTCAAGAGATACTCCATGCAACGTAGTGCAAGTGCGCCTAGCTTCATTGATGTTGATGAATACTGGGCTTCTGTGCGAAAAAATGCAGTGAGATAGACTTAATATCTTTCAATTAAATATTAATACTATTTATCTTAACTATATCTATGCACGAAATGAATAACTATATAATCTACATGCATGATCGCCTAGTGAAATTGTGAAATGTATCACCTGCAGGATAAAAATTGGCCGATCATCTCGTGATTTATAGAAACTCGCCAGCTCCTGGAACTCTCCTAGAACTGTCTTGGAACTGGGCCGTAGGCGCTTCGCACAGGGAACTAGGGAGATCTCATGTGATACGATATATAGTGCATCATGCCACAAACTGATTTAGCCGAAAGCGTTGTGCATATGCATGTAAATATAAAATTAGCTTAGCCAAGGTATGACACTGATATGACTCTATATAAATCCGTTAACTTTTTAAAATCGGCTACAAGTCAATTAATCACTAATTAGTAAATCCGTATAAATTTGAATCATGTTATTCTTTGGTATAAGTTGCTAAAGAATCACTAAAACCGCTATAAATCTATAAAATATCAGTGAAATTGCTATAAACCGCCTACACCTGTAAAATGGTTAGAACTGATTACCAATATGGTTTAAATCCTGTAGTAGTGAAAGCATTAACTAATCTGCATTACAGATATAGTAATGAAACGCCAAAAATGTGGTGTTCCCGTATTCGTGTTCCATTTAAGAAACTTCTCAAATATAACCCAAGATTCTTCTCAAAGAATGAATACATTCATATGACTAAAAGAGAATATAAAGATGGGAAATTCAAACCTGGAAGACGTACATTTCATATTTATTGTACTGCATGTGATTCCTTAGTATTTATCTTTGAAAATACCGAGAAATGTGCAGATAAGCATCTGAATGAATACATTGCCAGAATAGAGCAAAGGCGTGTCATATATGTTAGATCTATATTATTAAAACGAAAAATTAAAAAAGGACTTAGTTCTGATAAGATTAATAAGCTTTATAGTGTTTATTTATCATACAGAAAAAACTATGAAGGTCATTATCCTGATTGGTCAGAATTTACGAAAAGAATAGTATATCACGTTTTAAATAGTGCAAGAGCAATCTAACAGGCTTGGTGGAGTTATAAGTTGAGACCTGAGACAAAGGCACAGCGAGACTGGAATATGGTGAGAAATAATGGTACTCCTAATAGAAAGAAATATTTAAGTATGATTAGTAAAGAACAGATGGTAAAAAATCCTGAGACACAAGAAGAGTATACTATAGCCTGTGATGAATTTTATGCTTTATTTAAGAAACATTACTCACAGTATATTGGAATAATCGATCAAGCCAAATGTACTCCACCATATGAGGAGTATGTTTATTGTTCTCCTAGTAGATAGATAGAAGGTAAAAAACATCAGTTAAGACGACGGTTAGATAAAGTGATATACGGATCTAATCCCGATTTCTCAGAAAGGTTTTTGATTGAATTGTTAAGTAGTATTAGCTATTATGAAAAGTACACAAAAAATCAATTTTGTCATTTACTGCCCTATAACTAAATATAGGAGTATTCTAGGCTGGTCTTAAAGAGACCACTTCTGCGTAAAAAAATGTAAGGAAATAGACTTTGATTGAATATTATATTTATCTCAACTATATTTAGCCAAATACACTATACATAACTTATTCAT